AACTGAAGATCCTAGGTTGCATGCATATTATTATTATTATTATTATTATTATTATTATTATTAAACTTTATTTGTACCCCGCTAGCATCTCCCGAAGGACTCGATGTGGCTTACAAAGGCAAAGGCCTCAACACAATAACAACAAACAATAACAATGCAGCAACTTAAAAACATAAGCAATAACACAACAAAACATTACACTATTACACAATAAAATCAGGGCCGGGCCAATGATGGGTACAGGTTAAAAAGTGCTGGGTGTGTGAGGTGGTAAGTTGGAGTTCTGGGCAAGTGCAATGTGCAGAGAGTATTAAACTCTAATAAAGTGCTTCTGGGACAGAGTGCTGGAGATTATCCTATTCTGGGAAGGCACATCGGAATAACCAAGTCTTCAAGTTCTTCCTAAAGACTGCCAACGTGGGTGCTAGTCTAATGTCTTTGGGGAAATATCAATTGCCTTTGATATTTCAGAGTTTGGAAGATCTAAAGTCTCCATCAACTTATTTGCACAGGAGGATTACTAAACTGTGCCTCATGAGTCCTATGAATTGCAAGAGTGTTTTCTACTTCTCTTCCAAAAAACAGATTGATGTTGATTATTGAGAAGACATATCTGAACTTTAACACTCCAGAGTTATCTCTTCCAAAGGAGTAACATATTGGATTCAGAATTCAGCAATAGATTTAGTATTCTAAAGTGACCATGAAGTGACTAAAGTATCTTTTTCCTCTCCAGTACATATAACTTTGTAAGTGGCTGTTGTTCTCTAGATACATTTAATTACACAACAACAACAACAACAACAACAAAGCATCTTCAAACAATAGCATGGGGCTTCAGGTAGTATTTCCTAGGTCATGAATGCAACCAATTAATGTTCCATTTATATTCTCAGACTGCTTCCCACTCACTTTTGTTTATTCATATTCTCTAAAACATGACATCAAATTTGCCTTTATGATGCCTATCACAAGAGCATGTGGAATCTGTACAGTAGCCTAAAGTGCTGCGATAATAATAAAATATGGCACATAAAAGAAGCTGTTTAAATATCCTTATTGCTGAGTACTTAAACGTCCTTACAGTCATTGAAAGCTACACGGTTGAATGATGTACTATGATCTTTTACCTGCCAGCTAGAAAGGTTAACTGCAAAATATTGTACGATTAATTCAGTTAACAATGAACTTAAAAAGACCAGTAATTATTCTGCCTGCTATAACAGGTGGCCGCATAATGCAACGTGATTAGTATGGAGAAGTTGTTTGGTATGATATGGAGTTTTATAGGCTACTTCTGCTCATCTACGATATTAAATATTTAAAGGTGTTATTTCTAAGGCTGATAGAACTGGCTCTAGACAATGTGCTCTTGTTTTCAGAGCATTAAACTCTGCCTGAGAACCAACCCAATTTAGGTGCAGGTTTCTCCCTTTGAAATCAGTGGAAGATTCAAATGAACCAATGAAAACATGTGCCTCAGATATAAACACATACAGATATGTGTCATCACATTATAACGTAGATCATTAATTTTCATAAGACTTAATTCCACGCAAATGCAGTATTAATACGTCAAGGGGCACTTGATTTTAACAAGAATCAGCACTGTACCCTTTTGTTACAGACAATTAAATCTGTGCCTCCAATCTGCTTCCTCCTACTTATTTAGCATTACTGCCCAATCCAATACATGGTCATRTGGGACTGGTTCCCAAGAAAGTTAGTTGGAAGAAATTTAGGAAATAAACAAAAACTCAATAATTATCTCAGTTTGAGAGAGTGAATCTTCAAACTATTACTGTACAATTTTGGGGAGCAGTGGTGGCATTAACATACCTGAATGACCCAAAAGTTTACTGATTTTTGAAAAAAATGTCTCTTTCTTCACTGAAACTAAGGTTTTAGAGGAGAAAAACAAATTGCACACAGTGGATAAGAATAAGTTCTTGGTCTTAGCAGCCCTAGAAAAAAAGAGGACTTTATAGATCTAAAAAAAAAAATCTGTCTTCTGTTTCACATATATTTCCTCTAAGGATGCTGCATAGGTCTGCCTAACTTCAACTGCTAAGGATTAAAAAGTGAGGTGAAAAATGCCAGGCATTGTAAAACAAGACTTTGCTTGTACACTTAATTGTCATATGTTTGCAGTAAGAAGGCTTTGTAAGTTATCAAGGACCTCTCCTTGAATCCAAAAATGGCAAACAGTCCATACTAGTATTATATTATTGTAAGAGATGCCATTTTAAAGGCTAATACTATATAATTGCTCTGTAGTCTTTGTTTTTGCTGACATTCAAATAAATGGTGATAGCATCATGATAATCTTTCAACATAAAATGCATCACTCTGCATATAGTTTTCACTACTCTAGGTGTGCTCATTTTATTGAAAGTTTGCCTTTCAGACATTTTATATTTTTGTAGAAATCTGACACAGTTCCAGAAACCTTGACAGATGGTGTTTTGAAGAATAATGCAAGGTAGCTGGTGTGAATCCCACATTAGTATTCTCTCTTGCTTTCTTAAGCAACTCACCTTAGCCTGTGTTTAATATCCACATATGCTAACCTACAGCTACACTTGAGGGGGGTCGGGGAGTAGCACATTTATTAAAATATGTGCATCATTTGCAGCTGAATTTTAGCTTGAATGGGAAAGGTAGATGTAAATACATCTGCATGGGCTCACTTTTATTAAAAGGTTTTAAAATAACCACAGAGTTTTGTATTTTCCCCCCAATTTTATTCCTCCCCAAAGTCCTCTACCCTTCACTTTTCTTCTGATTTTACTGTGTCTCAGCAGATAGTTCCCCCTGCTGGGAAAATTTCAAATTACACACACAAATCATATTTCTATGGGATGGCGGGGAATCTATACTTTAAAAAAGAGTATGTGATGGGAAAGCTCTCATTTACAAACCTGGCATCCCCTTTTAAAATGAGAGTCTGAAGACTTTTAAAATAAAGTATGTTTGATGCCTGCTTACATGTTTTTAAGATAATTATTCAGATTCTTTGGAATATTGACATCTTATTTCCACATACAGACACTGTTAGATCTCTATCAAATTATTTGCATTTGATTTCATTTCATTACAAACCCTTCAAAGTCTAACAATAACATGGGATGAAGATCTGCACCTATCAGAATATGATCATATCCAGTATCATATTATAATTGAAAGGGAAAGCAATACTATCAAACTAAACAATGTAACTATATTTTACAGACATATACTAATAACATGGACAAAGGATGAAATCAGGGAGAATACTTTTGGTGGTGATTTGTCTGTGCTTCTCAACTCAAATACAGTCTCAGTTGCTGTGAGTTTTCTGGGCTGTATGGCCATGTTCCAGAAGCATAACATGGCTATATAGCCTGGAAAACTCACAGCAACCCAGTGATTCAGGCCATGAAAGCCTTCAACAACACTCAGATACAGTCATTCAAAGGCACAACTTGGAAAGTTCCAGTAACTTGCTAGTGAGTTCTTCAACAATTAATTAGTCCTGACATGACCACAAGAGTTTGATATTCTAGCAAAATGGGGGTAAACCTGGCAGTTGACAAACTTAACAAATCCAGAACAAGAGTAGACTGAAATGAACTGGAATGACACGAATCACAGGTATCGTGATGGATTTAGCTCTTCCCATATAATATGGACATTTAACACAACAGCCCAAGATGGAACAGCTTTAATGAAACACTTTGCATCTGTCTTTCTGTAAATAAAAATTGGAGTCCAAAAGCTTTTTCCACTACAAAAGTAGTACACCTGATAACAGAGCAGTTCTTACTAAGAAAAGGGAGCACGAAAAGAAATAAAAGCTTCCCATGAAACAAATAATTCCCATGGAAATGATTGTCCATGATGGTAAAAGTCTTGAGTGTTTTTTAATAAGCGAAAGGTATTTGCTATGATTTAAATAGTAATAACACTGGGCAGGAAGAGCTGCTTGAAAAGTAACTCTCAAAATTAGAGATAATCTTTGTTTGGATTACTACTGTCATTCCACTTTCTTTCTCATGTATGTGTATGTGTGTATATATATATATATATATACTTTTAAAATAGTAATTGGTGATCTATTATGATCTGGAAAAAATAATCTTTCTAAAATAATCTGCATCTTAGAAAAAAGAAAGAAAAGGATGGCTGTTGACAAACTTAACAAATCCAGCAACAAAATGCCAAATTGTTGCTGATTTGTTTGCAAACTGGATTGATGGAGAGGTGAGTCTATGAGGACACAAATCATCCTCTTGAGTATAGGGTGTTGCCATTGAAACCTATCAGTATCTCTTCCTCTGGAAGCAATAGGAGGGACATAGGGACCATTGACACAAACTCTATACTTCTATAGTACAATTGGATGAAGGTTATGGACACTGGGGTGATGGAGGAGTGCATCTACACTGTGGAAATAATGCAGTTTGGCACCACTTTCACTGCCATGGCTATGGAATCATAACAATTGTATTTTAGCGAGGCACCAGCACTATTTGGTAGAGAAAGCTAAAGACCTTGTCAAACTTCAATCCCCTTTGAGCCATGGCAGGCAAAGTGGTGTGGAACTGCATTAATGCTACACCCTCAGTTGCTTCCCTCCTTCACTTTCTCTAAGGCGAATCCTCCTACCAGACTCATTGGTCTCAGCAGCCTCTGTCTCTATGTAGATCTCAGACCAGAACAACAGAGCTCCTTGGCTCTTCCTCAACAGAGAAGGGAAAGACTATCTTCGTCTTTCTCTCCCCCTTTTCAACCCTCCTTCCTTTAGTCCGAGGCCTCGCACAAGATCTCAGTCCCAATGCTTCCCTAGGAAAGATTTCAGTCCCTATGTAAGAGCTGAGTCCCTATGCAAGATCTCAGTCCCTATGTAGGTAGGATCTGAGTGCCTATGCAACATTTCAATCCCCAGCAGCAACAGCCACCGCTTCTTCTTGGCTCAGAAAGGCAGCCAGAGGAGAGAAGCCCCCTCAAAGTCCTCCTACCTTCTGCCAAAAGGCGCATCGCGTGAACAAAGGACGAATCCAGGCTATCTTTCTCGGCCATCAGCTCGGGTAGGTATTTCTCCTCTTCCATAGTAAACTGGGCAGCACTTGGGATCGGCTGCCTGCCCGAAAGGTGGTGCGCGGGGAGCTCCTTGCCTTCCCTCGGACTTGGAGCAAGCCTCCCTTGGCTGCAGGACCCTGGACAGCGCGCGCCCCCCTCCCGCCAGACACACGCGCGCGCCCCGGGATGCCTGCCTCGGCTTCTCTGCCTCGCGCCTCTCTAACTGAGCCACAGGCGCCGCCGAGCAGGAGCCTTAACTAGAGAGGTGGGCGAGAAGGAGCGTTCCACCCACCGCTCCGCCCTTCCCATTGGGCAACGGGGGCTGGAAAGGCGGGGCGTGAAGCGCAGCGGCGGCTTCCCATTGGCTCGCAACCCCGTCGCCTTAAGTGAAAGGCAAGGGCGGAAAAAAAAAGCCGGGAAGGGGATCAGGGAGGGACTTAGCGCGCCGCTCGCTGTCCAAGGTGCTGAAGCGGAGCGAAGGGCGTCTGAGGGCTTTGGAAGGGCTGCGGCGTTGGATTTCTCTCTTTTATTCCCCTCCTTGGGAAAAACGAGTCAAGCCCAGACGTTGCATATTTTACTTCTGTCCAGGGCTGATGATTGCCTCCAAAAATCCATACCCCGGGCCCGCCCTTAAGATTCATGGAGAAAGTTGTCACCTTCCAAGGGACGTGGCATCTTCCACTCCTGTGACTTCTATTTCGCAGGCACCAGCCCTCCATCCCTCTTTCGTGTAAGGATGCACTGACAGATTCATCTCAAAGAGTGACCAAAGATGTATCTACACCAAGTATGGGCAAACTTCGGCCCTCCAAGTGTTTTGAACTTCAGCTCCCACAGTCCCTAACATCCAGTAGGCTGGGCTGTTGTAGGTTTTTTGGGCTCTATGGCCATGTTCTAGAACAGTGGTTCTCAACCTTCCTAATGCCACAACCCCTTAATAGAATTCCTCATATTGTGGTGACCCCAAACCATAAAAGTCTTTTCGTTGCTACTTTGTAACTGTAATTTTGCTACTGTTATGAATTGTGGTGTATATAACTGATACTGTATGCAGGATGTATTTTCATTCACTGGACCAAATTTGGCACAAATACACCATATGCCCAAATTTAAATACTGGTGGGGTTGGGGGGGATTGATTTTTTTCATTTGGGAGTTGTAGTTGCTGGGATTGATAGTCAAACCTCCCATCAAAGAGCATTCTGAACTCCACCAAGGAAGGAATTGAACCAAATTTGACACACAAAACTCCCATGACCAAGAGAAAATACTGGAAAGAGCTTGGTGGGCATTGGCCTTGAGATTTAAAGTTATAGTTTACCGACATCCAGAGAGCACTGTGGACTCAAACAATGATGAATCTGGACCAAACTTAGCACGAATAGTCAATATGCCTAAATGTAACACTGGTAGGGTTTGGGGAAAACAGACCTTGACATTTGGGAGTTGTAGTTGCTGGGATTTATAGTTTACCTACAATCAAAGAACATTCTGAACCCTACCAATGATAGAATTGGTCCAAACTTCCCACACAGAACACCCATGACTGTGTTTTCTGATAGTCTTGGTGACCCCTCTGACACCCCTCACGACCCCACAGGGGTCTCGACCCCCATGTTGAGAAACACTGTTCTAGAAGCATTATCTCCTGACATTTTGCCTGCATCTATGGCAGCCATCCTCAGAGGTTTTAAGGTCTTTCAGAACTAGGAAAATTGGATGTATATGTCTGTGAAATGTCCAGGGTGGGAGAAAGAACTCTTGTCTGTTTGAGGCAAGTGTGAATGTTGCTATTGGCCATCTTCCTTAGCATTAAATGGCCTGGCAGTTTTTAGGTGTGGCTTGTTACTGCTTGGGGAAATCTTTTGACAAGAGGTGATTAGTTGTTCCTGATAGTTTCTTGTCTGGAGTTCCCCCGTGTTTGAGTGTTGTTCTTTATTTGCTGTTATAATTTTAGTGGTTTTTTAAAATACTGGTAGCCAGATTTTGTTTATTTTTATGGTTCCTTCCTTTAGGAGAAGAAACCTAGGTTTCTTCCTAACAGCTTAGGTTAGGCTATTAGGAATTGTGGGAGTTGAAGACCAAAACATCTGGAGGACCCAAGTTTGCCCATGCCTGATGCACAATGTTTGATTAAGGAAGTTTGACACCACTTGAACCACTAAGACTCAAGGCCATGCCATCCTGGAAGTCATAATTTGGTGAGGCACCAGCCAAAGAACCCTAAATACCTTGTAAAACTACAACTCCACTGATTCCACAGCATTGGTCCATGACAGATAAGAGTGCTATCAAACTCAATTATTTCTATGGTGAACATACACCCTGGTGCTTTTATTAAGCAGCAGACTCACTTTGGGTTACTCTACACCAGGGGTCCTCAAACTTTTTAAACAGAGGGCCAGGTCACAGTTCCTCAAACTGTTGGGGGGAGGAGGACTGAATTTTGAAAATAACATGAATGAATTCCTATGTAAACTGCACATATCTTATTTGTAGTGCAAAAAAGGCTTAAAAACAATACAATAATTAAAATGAAGAACAATTTTAACAAATATAAACTTATTAGTATTTCAGTGGGAAGTGTGGGCCTGCTTTTGGCTGATGAGATAGGATTGTTGTTGTTGTTGTTGTTGTGTGCTTTCAAGTCATTTCAGACTTAGGTTGACCCTGAGCGAGGGCCGGGTAAATGACCTTGAAGGTCTGTATCTGGCCCTCGGGCCTTAGTTTGAGGACCCCTGCTCTACACTGTGGAATTGATGCAGTTTGATATCAATGCTATGTAATCATGGGCGTTGTGGTTTTACATGGTCTTTTGCCTTCTCTGCCAAAGAATGCTGATGCCTCAGCAAACTATACACTGCAGTTCCACAACATTGAGGCATGACTGTTAAAGTGGAGTCAAACTGCATTCATACTACAGTGTAGATGCACCCTTTGCCTTTCACATACCTAGTCTGACTACTTGGTCCAGACAGACTTTATGAAGGCATTCAACCTGGAAGGCTTCCCTCTGCTGAAACGAATAAGGAAACCTTTTCACTTTAAAGCAATAGTCTCTCACTGTGGCAGTGTGTGGAGGGAGGGAATCAGAAACAACTATTAATTGCTATTACGTCATATTACACCAATTTCTACGGAATGGGAAATTATTCAACATTTCAGAATGGCCATATAAATCCACCAGTTCCAAAAAGAAAATCTATTCAATTGTTTTCAGGAAAAAAAAGGTATCAATCTATAAAGCTTCTGTGGATGCCCACCCATGAACACTTCAACCATGACATCACCCACAGCAATTCCTGACTGAAAATAGCCCATAGGCACATATCTGATAAATTCTGGATTTTCTTTTACAGGCTTAAGCTGTAAAAAATGTTGACATACTAGAAAAATTATTCTCTTGACATTCTTGCCTACTTCTCAGTCACTATGGTAATGGATTTAGACCTCTCGAAAACCTGAGAGGAAGCTTTAAAGTAAACATTATATTTAGACTGCACTGAGTCTCTTTGATGGGATATTGACAATTCTTACACTAAACTACATTGGAATATTACTCATTCAACTTCACAAGTATTGAAGGCTGGCGTTCAATGCCTTAAGAACCATTTTTGGATCAAAAGATCAAAATAACAATATTCAAAAGATTAAAAAAACTACATTATGACACCAGCTTCAACTGAATGTATTTTATCCAGCAACACATCCAGTAAATGGCCAATAGGTGAATTATTCCAGGTTGATTCTGTTTCCTTTTTAATGGAGGACAGCTAGGTAGGCCATTCACTGTTCTATGGTAACATCCATGGCAGATGCAAATCTGTAGCCCTGACACACTCCATCTCTTCATCCAACTAGATCAGTGGTTCCCAACCTTTTTTTTTAATCAGGGACCATTTGACCAGAGACTGCTTTGACCAGGGACCACTCTCCAACATTACCAAAATGATTATGAATCAGTTTTTGGTCAACTTTAGATTCAGTTTGGTTATTTGGAGTGCTGATTCAGAAAATTGCATTGGATAGACCACATCAGCTCTAGTTTCTGATACAGAACATATGCCATCCAGTAGTCACCATTTGCTCGCCCATACCACGGACCATATTTTAGTTCTTGCAGACCACTGGTGGTCTGCAGTCAATATGTTGGAAACCACTGAATTAGATGAAAGAATCTACTCCAACCATTTTTATATTAATCTGAACATAATTGCCCCATAATTATGGAGCAAATATACTGTGGCTCTGTTGGAAAGCACACACAAGACAGGAAAACCTATATAAAAGAGAACAGACCAGGAGATGATTTTATCTGCTGTTCAGTGGACCCCATTAGATGCATTACTGAAGCAGTATTTGATAGATCCCTTCCCTATGATCCATACATTTGTAACAGGCAGCAAACAAGCAAGGACTAAGCAAATAATGCTTCCTTTCTTTGACAGCATCATCGAATCGCATGTGTTATGGCTAATGCTATTATATCTTCAAGACCCCAGTTTCTTTGTGTTCAATTTGTGATAAATATCTCAGAATTCAACATTCCATATATATAGGACATTAAGGAAAAGATGTGGTAGATTTTGTTTTGGCTCAGAAAGTCTTGCATCAGCTTCATTCGAAGCAGTGGCTTTAGAAAGCATCTGCATCCTCAAATCACAGAATTAAAGCTATCATGTAATTAAACTGTCTACAGCAGAAGTAAACAAACTCATTTTAGTTTAATTAAAACTATATATAAGTGTCTGGATGTGTGCATGTGTGTGTGCATTCACACATGTTTGCCATTGCAAAAAATATTGTGCTCTATTTCTAAACACTTGTGGCATTTTCTTTTACATTGGCTCAACTATTACATTTCCCCTAATATTTCTTTGAGAAGCAACACTAAAATTTATGTCTATCTTTTCAGCATATACAGTGATTTATAATTCCATTTCCTTGGATCCATACATCCTCTGAATAAATTATTACCTATCCTACTGGCTTTACAGATAGAAAACAGCCTAGGAAAGAATACTACCTCAGTGATACCCAGGACCACAACTAAAATTTAAAGCACATAATGCTTATGGGTTTAGAAGCATAATGTGTATATACCACACTTGCATTAACAAAATATGACCATATATACTTCACTGGTTCCTATTGGAATCATCGCGTAATTTTATATGTGTGGATGTGTGAACATATGTTTTGTTAAATGTAATGAGTAAATCTATTTTTATTTTATGAACTTGCAGCT